TTTTCTCTTTCTTTTTTATTTTTTTGGTACCAGGGTTTGAACTCAGGACCTTGTGTTTGCTAGGCAGGCACCTATACCACTGAACTATATCCCGGGCTCAGTATTTTTTTAAACGTAATATATTTTTATATAAAGTTAATATGCAGTTCAGGCTGACCTCAAACTCACTGTGTAGCCCAGGCTAGGCTCAAATGCGAGATCCTTCTGCCTCAGCCTCCTGAATGCTGGGATCACAGGAATGGGCAACGCCCAGTCTATTATTATGTTTTTGTTTTTATTTTTTTCTTAATATTTATTTATTTATTTATTTATTTATTTATTTATTTTGTGTGTGTGTGGCCAGCTCAGCTCACCAGGGAGCAGGGGCTGGCTGGCATATGTTGCTGGGGGATTGAACCGCGGTTCCTGTGCTTTGCTTAGCTTAGCTTGTTCTAAGTAGGTGCTTTAGACCACTGAGCCATCTCACCAGCCCCTGTTTTTATTTTTTTATTTTTATTTTTTGCGGAACTGGGAATTGAACTCAGGCCCTTGCACTTGCCAGGGAAGTGCTTATTCTATTGAGCCATCTCCCCGGCCCTCATGTTTTTGTTTTTAAAAGACACCAGAAGATAAATGCAGTGCAACCTCATTTGTGCATGTTTTAGAGTAATTGTTCCAGTTATTGTAATAACCCCTGAGTCTCCACAACCTGGAGACTGGCACATGGCGGATTACTTTACACTCAATTATGGTCTTGCAAGGGTTAGGGGTCCACCCAATTGTTTCCCCTTCAAAACCTGACTCTGGAGTTCAGGACTCTCCCGCTGGGTGCCTGTGTGAGCTCGCAGTGCTCTCCCCGCAGTGCACACAGGACAGTGTGCAGAAGGCCGGGCAGCCCTTTGAGGGCGTGCTCCTGAAGTTGGTGCCGGCCACTTCTGCTCACCTCCCACTGGCCAAAGCCCAGTCATCACACAGTCCCAACTTAATTTCTTTTTTTTTTTTTTAATTTTTATTTGTGTGTGTGTGTGTGTGTGTGTGTGTGTGTGTGGCCAGCTCAGCCCACCAGGGGGCGGGGCTGGCTGGCATGTGGAGCTGGGGGATTGAACCGTGGTCCCTGTGCTTTGCTAAGCTTGTTCTAAGTAGGTGCTTTAGACCACTGAGCCATCTCACCAGCCCCCCAACTTAATTTCAAGAAGAAATGTAGTCTTCCTGCAGGGCCAGGGATTGAAAAGGGGATTAATGGAAATAAGCTGCCTGTATTATTTTTTTCTACTGTTATTTCTTGTTTGTTGGTTTGAGACAGGGGCTTGAATTTGTGGCATTCCTCCTGACTTGGCCTCCCAAGTGCTGGGCTTACAGGCATGTGCTTCCATGCCCTGTAATCTACCACCTTAAAAAATAAACAAGGCAACCCATTTGGGATCCCTTCTGTCTCTCAGGAGCGATTCCTATTCTCCATTCCTCATTCCTTTTCTCCAATATATTTTTATGCCCTTAAGCTCTGGTGTTCCTTAGAATTCATCAGTGTACCTGATATGTAGCACTTCCCCTACATCATCTTGGAAGAGACACTGAGATACTTGGAAGGAAGAGTTTGCTCTGGTTTTGTGGCACCACTAAAATACTTCAACTGCATTCTGGAGTGCAGCTTGCTTAGGTGATCAAAACTGTCATCCTTGCATTTTATGCCTTGTCTTTGCCAATTGCTTAGGCCTTGTCTCTTTTATGCACTGTCTTTTGTTCACCCATATGCCCTTGCTACCACTGGGTCAATATTACCTAAGTGACTATGCTTTCTTTTATTTTTCCTGGCAGAACCGGGGATTGAACTCAGGCCCTTGTGCTTGCCAGACAAGTGCTTATTCTACTGAGCCATCTCCCCAGCTTCCTAAGTGACTATGTTTACAATCTTATTGGGTGATCATAATTTTGACCCATATTGTATCCACCTCATAATGTAAAATCTTCCTTTGAGAAGTGGACCCACTGTTAACCCATTCTGAACTGCTCTGTTTCTCAGGAGCTATGCCCATTCCCCATTCCTTTTCTCCAATAAACTTTCATACTCTAAAAAAACCCCAAGCAAACATATGTTTACACATATTTGCATACACATACGAACATTTCTAGGGCCAAGGAGATAGCTCAGCAGCATAAGCACCTGCCTGGGAAAAAAAAAAATAAGCACCTGCCTGGCAAGCTCAAGGTCTCAAGTTTGACCACTGGTACTGAAAAAAAAAAAAAAAAAAAAGAATGTTTCTGGAAAGATACATAAGAAACAAGAATAGCTAGGTAATTTAGGGATCCATTTCAAGATGAAAACACTAGACTCTTTGTTTAAAAATAACTAAGACAGCCAGTGTGCTGACATATACCTGTAATCCCAGGACTTGGAAGGCTGAGACAGGAAGATCACCAGGAGTTCAAGACTAGTCTAGGCTGCATGGTGAGCTCAAGGCCAGCCTAGACTACATAGCAAGACCCTGCTCAAAACAAAAACAAAACAAACCTAGGAATTTCAAGACGGCAACAGCAGAGCATTAAGCCCCATGCAGGTCCCAGCTGCCATGCAGCGCGCAGCTCTCCTCTACACAAGCCCTTCTACCTGGTGGCCAATCATGAAAGAACTAACATTTCTCACATGTGAGCTGGTGTATAGCTCAGTGGCACAGCACCTGTTTGCCAAGTGTGAGGTCCTGACTTTTGAATCCCAGTAGCCATAAATAAATAAATAAACAAATAAATAAAAAATGTGAGCCAAAATAAACCTATCTTCATTTAAAAATAATGCAAAGAACACAAAACAGTGCAGGGACTGCTGAGCATGGGGCTGTGTAGCTTCACGGGAAGCCTCCCTGATAAGAGACGCCTGCCACGAGGACTTCTGAGGGCTGGGCCTGGGACGGAGAAGGGAGGGGCAACTCACTCAGCAAATCTTCAGCTGGCACGACATGCACGTGCGTTAATTATCACAGTAATTTTAAGATGTCTGACTTGTCATGGAGTTTAGCAGACACAGTAACCTGAAGGATGGAAACTGTGGTGACTGCAGCGCGTGGGCCTGTCGGCCACGTCTTTGCTTCGTGTGCCAACGGGTTGGCCTGGGTGGGTTAGGTTATGTGGCCAGAGCATCCAATCCAACATCTCAATGGCATAGAATAACAGAGATCACTTCTCACTCATACTCTGGGTCCATCTGGGGACAGTTGTCACTGTCCCTCCAGGACCTGCCTATCATCTTGCACTGTGGTAGAAGGAAGATACAACCCCAGCAAACCACCTGCTAGATCTTAGAGCTCTGGCTTTGATGTAATACACTTCATGCTGCCATATTTTATTGGCCCAAACGAGTCAGAGTAGCCCCAACAGTCTTCACAAGGAGCACAGAGGAGATAGATAGATATATATAGCAATTTCAAAACATGCAATACCTTTGCCTATTTATTTATTTTTGGTGGTACCTGGGATTGAACTCAGGACTCTGTGCTTGCCAGGCAGGCACTTGTTCTACTGAGCTATTTGCCCGGCCCCATGCAATACCTTTGAAGTGTTCAAGACAGTGTGTTATAGTATGTAATAGCTGAATCTTGGAAACAGCTCAAATCAAATATTCATCAACTAATGAATGGGTGGAGATGTGTGTTTTTTAATACAATAGAATACTCTGCCACAAAAGATAACCTTGACACATTTCTTGGTAAGTGAATACACCTTGATACCACACTCTTAAGTGAAATAAATCAAATGCATATGTGTAAATACCACATTATTTCTCTGTGTGAGAAACCAGAAGTATAAATATGGACCAAAATGTATAATCGCTATCGTGAAATAGGAAGAGAATATTCAAATGGGAAGGGAACTAGACTGAAGGGAAGGGGAAAGGAAGGAAGGCAAAAGAAAACATTGAGAAAAGAAGGAAAAATGGAAACAAAGCCTTTGTAAATAAGTAGGGGGAAAGGAGTTGAAGAGAGAGGAGGAGAAAGAGAAAAAACAAATTAAGATATATCCTGTACAGGTACAAATTACCTGTGTGATGAACATGATCATTATGTATATCTAAAATGTACCTGTAAACTTAATTTTAAAAATATGGAAAATATAAAGGAAAAAAACCCCGAAGATGACAAAGATGAGAATTACAAATTCAAGCCCAGGGGCTGGTGAGATGGCTCAGTGGTCTAAAGCACCTACTTAGAACAAGCTTAGCAAAGCACAGGGACCACGGTTCAATCCCCAGCACCACATGCCAGCCAGCCCCGCCCCCTGGTGGGCTGAGCTGGCCACACACACACACACACACACACACACAAATAAATAAAATTTAAAAAACCCAAAAAACAAATTCAAGCCCAACTTGAGCAATTTACTAACTCACTAAGAGCCTGTGTCAAAAAATTAAAAAGGTTCTGGGTTCAATTTCTAGTAACACACACACACACACACACACACACACACACACACACAAATAAAAACAAAGAAGATAAAGATTAGCTGGCCTCATCTCCTCCTAAGCTGTCTTTCCCACATTGACTTCAGCGTCTCCAGCTGCAGGGGCCCTTAGAAGTGTGCTCCTTGCTCTCTTCTGACTCACGCCGGGACTGCTTTCTTTTTCTAGTTGCCACTTTCTGCTTTTGAAATAGCACCTCCGCCCAGGCCTTCCTTTGTCCCACTGCCTTCCAGTGCGACTATTAAACTGGAGGTGTTCCTGCCTTGACCACATGTTTTCCTAGCTGCGCTCCCAGCCTCTGCACGGCAGCTGCGGCACAGCATTATAGGGAGACGTAAGGAGGAAACGAGGGCGGCGTGCTCAGCACGGCGCTTAGCGCCTCATGTAAACTCAACAAGAGTAAGTGTAATTATTGTTATTACGTTTCACACATATGCTCACATATAAAATTATTATTTGTAATTATAAGTCTGCAGGGAAAGGATGTGCTGAACAGCAAACATAAATATTGGGTCAATATTGTAAAAGCTTTATTACTTATTAGAAAATGATTAAACTGCTCCTCTGGCCTTTATGCCTCGGTCTCCCTGGAGTCTGGCAGGCGAATCACTGAGTACTGCTTTGCATGTGTCTGGCATTTACTCCCTACCTGACCTCTATGCCACTGGCGATCTGTGGAGAGGAGGCTGATGCCCACAGCTGTGAGTAGGAGCCGTTTGCTGATTTTTCTCACTCTGGGATGAGCATCTGCCAAGGTGAAGCCTGCGTTGTTCATCCCCAAATCCTGCCATTCTCTGCTTTGTGCTAAAGGGAAGCAAATTAGATGGGCGCCTTTGAATAAACATTTTAATTTCCCAATAATCACTATTTATTTATGTATTTATGTATTTATTGTCTTTTATTGTGTTTATTTTATTTTCGGAACCGGGGATTGAACTCAGGCCCTTGCACTTGCCTGGGAAGCACTTATATTCCACTGAGCCATTTTCCCGGCCCTTAATTTCCCAATAAATGGCCTCTTGTGTTTTGGGACTGTGATGGCTGGCATGGGCCCTTTGGGGCACACTGGGATCCCGGAACAGTGGATGACCCCAGGAACTCTGACAGTCCTGGCCAGCTGGGGTGAATTACTTAGAGGTGGAGGCACTGATGGTCAGCTGTGTGGGCCACTTGCCCACGCGCACACCCTATTTCTTAGTGAAGGGTTCTTTGCATGCAGCCCATGCCTCCTGCTTCCCTGCTTAGCTGTCTGAGTGGCTCCGTGTGGAGCACACAACTTTTAACCTCAAGGGGGAGATTAAGAATCACACGTCAGAAGTGAGGAAAAGAGCACTGTCACAGCCAGGAGCGTCCTGTCTGCCACCCTGCTGGGGCCTGCCAGGCACCCAGCCCAAGCTCATGGGATTTTTTTTTTTTTTTTTTTTTTTACCAGGAAAGGCTCACGGGATTTTGTAGGGAGGGTCTGGAGGAAGTGTGAGGCTGTGGCTGGAGGTGCTCAAGTTGGGATCTCAGGTCGCCCTGCTAAGAGCAGTGGTGGCAGAGGTGGTACAGGGGTCAAAAGAAAATGGGAGTGCTCGCTCCTACCTTTGCTATTTGCGTCATGTTGGCCACAGGATTTAACCCTTCCTCACAGCTTCCTCATTTGTAAGCTGAGAATGATAATAAGCCTAGATTTGGGGTGAGCATTAGGATTAAATGAGATAATACACTGAAGCCTCAGTGAATTGAGCCTAGATTTGGGGTGAGCATGAGGATTAAATGAGATAATACACTGAAGCCTCAGTGCCAGCCCAGGCATTAGGTGCTCAGACAATGTGAGCCATTGCTCCGTGTGAAAACGCTTAGGTGAACCTGGTGAGGGGCTCATGATGGTCCCACAGGAGGCCAGAGAAAGCCGCAGAGAAGCTGTGATGTGCGCCTTTGCAGTCGAGTAAAGGTGCGTTTGAGGGATGCAGCTGGGTGGCTGGTTTACTCCTGACAGAAGTAGGGAGGCTTGAGAATTTAGACGTGATTGTTGCAAAGCTCTATGGCATGGCTTAAACACAGGGATGTGGGCTGTGTGGCAAGTGTAGGCCGTGGAAAGATGGGGTAGCAGTGTGTTTGTGTGTGTGCGTGTGTGTGTGTGTGTCCGTGTGTATTAGCTGCTCCAAGCACTCTGAGAACGCAGGCTGCTTTAACACTGAGAAAGGCCTGCTGCATGTCCTGCGGTGCCCACCCACCTCCTCTACGGCCCTTGGCATATTGCAGAGCAGGCTAAGGGGCATAGGGTTCGCCTTTTCCTTGAAGGCACATGGCATGGAAAGTTGGGAGGTTTTGCTTGTTGTTTTCAGGTTTCTGAAAAAAGGACAACAGACAGATGTAGGCTTTAGATAGCAGGTTCTGGAAGAGCCGCAGAGCCTTTCATTTGGGAGCTGCAGAGCCTCTGGCTGCTGTCCCCCGACTGGTCACTAGAGGGAGACCTGGGCTCAGAAGTGGTGCCCCACCCAGTGGTTGAGGGGCTGCAGGTCCGGGGAGGTGGAGGAGTGTAACCTGGGCAAACCCCGCTCACATCAGTTCCGTGTGGCAGGCTGACGCCAATGTGCTAGATTACTGATAAGGGCAGGAAGCCACCTTTCTTGCTGTCCCTGCCAAGCCACATTCCAAGTTGCACAACCAGTTTGTTCAGGGTTCACAAAACACAAAGAGCTGCCCTAGACCCCTGTGTGTACTCCAGCCACAGGACCACGCCTGGGGACCTGGGCAAAGACACTGCTGGGGTCCTGGGTGCCAGAGCACAGCTGGGATGGAGTAAATGGTGCCCTTGAGCCTGCTGGGAGGGGTGTGCTAGAGGAGGGGCAGCCTCCCAAATGGAGACTCGGGCAAATCCTCTCTCAGTGCTAGAGCAGTATTCTCTCTGTCTCTGTCCCTCTCTCACTCTCTCCTCTCTTTGGTGTTGGGGATACAACCCAGGCCTATATATGCTAGGCAAGTGCTCCCCCACTGAGCGACATCCTGTCTAGTGGTTGTGCCTTTACATGTCATGCCTAGCACAAAGCTTAGAGGCTGGTGAGTTTTTGGTTAAAGCCGATTGAACAAATAACTTTTCTATCTTTAATATCTGGATGATTCCTTTCATGAAAGCCGAAATACTTTGCCCTTTTTGAGGGACTGTGACTTCAAGTTCACAGGGTCCACAAGTTCTCTAGCCTTCTCTGGGAGAGAAAATAGGAGGGAAAGAGTGAAAAAATAAAAACAAGAGCACCGGGCATGGTGGTGTACATCTGTAATTCCAGAACTCAGTTGAGGCAGGAGGATCATTGTGAGTTTGAGACCAGCTTGGGCTACAAGGTGAGCTCAAGGCCAGTCTGAACTGCATAGCAAGATCCTGTCTCAGGAAGAAGAAGGAGGAGGAGGAGGAAGAGGGGAAGGAGGAGGGGGAGAAAGGGGGATAGAAGGGGGAGGCGGAGGGAAAGAAGAGGAGGAGTAGAAGAAGGAGGAGAAGGAGGAGGAGGAAGAGAAGAAGAAGAAGAAGAAGAAGAAGAAGAAGAAGAAGAAG